GAGACAAATGGGTATGTTGGTACTAAGCCCCAAAAAGTTATGTTTGTTATGAGATAGCCATTAATCTCTTTACTATTCAAGATGGGTTGCATATCTCATGCACTTCCTAATTTATGGAATGTAGTCCACCATTTGAATGGGTATCTTGCGAGGATTGCTGCATCCTATTACCATACAACAATAAATGTTATTTTTGGTACCATAACACAATACCATATTCCTCCTTTCCTCTCCTTCTCTCTCGTCTCTTCTTTCTATATATATATATATTATTATATAAAGTAATTATATTAATATATTACTAATATAATATAATTAAACTATAACTAACTGTATATAATACTACTCTAATCTGTATACCTTATAAAGAAATTATGTGTGATGCTTTGGTATCCCAACAAACAAAAAAGTGTGATGTAATGTGGGATAATTGTTCTATTTAAGGCTGGGGTTCCTCTCTCTACCCATAACCGGTGTGTTTGGTAGTGAGGTGACATAATCCGCTCCACTCATTCAAATGGTTGCATATCCTCATACACTCCTTAACTCATATGAATGTGGTCCCCCATTTGAATGAGTGGAGGGGATTGTGCCACCTCACTACCAAGCACAAATTTTGTGCTTGGTACTAAGCATACCCATATTTCTCATATATATGTGTGTGTGTGTGTGATTAACTTGATTTTCTAAAAAAAAAAATTAGTATCAAAGCCTTGAGACTAAATGCCTATCTAGGAAAATCATCCACCAAACTTAATAATGTCTATTCCATCTACATCCTCAAGCTCCTGAAGCTCTTCTACCTCAAGTAGCTCCACTCAGTTTATTCAATATCCGCAAGTCCATTATCTAGCTTTCCTCATCTATCAAACCCAAACTTGTCAGTGAAGTTGGACAAGGAAAATTACTCTATTTGGGTCCTTCAGGCCCTTATGCTCTTGAGCTTGAAAATGATCCTAAAAAATCCCTCATTATAATTTACCTCTCCGACTCTACACACATCAAGTGGTGTTGTTCCTCTACACCCAACCCCAACTATACAACCTGGCGGAAGAAGGATAAAATAGTCATAGTTTGATTGAGGTTCAACATGACTGCTCAAGTTCTATGTTATGTTGCCAAGGCATCAATTTCTTGTGAAACATGGACTGATCTTGAGTCCATCTTTCAAGCCCAAACAGATGTGGCGAAAGTGTAATCAAAAGAGATAACTACTCGTTCTCCTATGATACCCTAGATACCCTAGGAATAGAAAACTTCTGAAATTAATAATAACCAATCTAAAACTCTACATTAATTTATTCCCCTTATATAGGGTACAAAACATTGAAAAAGTATCAAACTATGCTTTTCCTAAAGCTAAGAGAAATCCTTACGTAAAAAACTTTCAATAAAAATTGGAAAACTAAAGTAACCCATATTTTCATGTGCAGCTGAGCCTAAAGATGAATATATTTGAACAATAATATTACCTAGAATCACAAATTATATTTATCTATAGATCACTTCCTAACCTTTCCAAAAGTATTTAATAATAAAGCTTCTACAGAGCTAGTCAAAAGATATGATCCTTTAAAGTTGCATCTTACAATCTGTCCGAAAATACTCTTTCGCTTCAATAGTCCCACTTTCGCATGATCTGATTTCTTCCAAAAGAATTTAATTATTGGCTCCAGACCATTCTTCCCTCCCTGAACAAAAAATTTATCGTCAAGTTTTGCTAAAGATAAAGCAGTCTGATTGGTTAAAACTCAGTCAAACCAGCAATCTTCTTCATCTTAAACTTATGGTAGGTTTTCTTAGGCAATGGTTCCTTAAGCAAATGATCCATCATCAGATCTCCCTCATCAATCAATTTTAAATGATGATGCTTATTAGTG